TGGAAGATCTGGACAAGAATTGCTTTTGAGTGGCCTCACTACTTTGTCACTGCCAACAGCTGCAGCTCCCACACTCCATCCTCAAGGAACACAAACCGTCACTCAATGATTTGTATTACAGTATTAATATTATTACCCATCATCATCATCAATTGTTTAACGTTGATAACCAAATAACGGAGCCTTTATATTTGTTGTGTTATTACTACCAACACCTTGACACGACGATGGTTATTGTATAGATAAACAGTCACTGTATCTTGTTCATCCATACCCTTGTACACACTGTGGTGTGCCCCGGGCACTGTTGAGGGCCCGGGAGGAGGGCCAGGGCTAGGCTGCCCCACCACACTCAAGGGCTTGAGAGGAAGGCAGGGCTAGGCTCCCTCACCACACTCAAGGGCTTGAGAGGGCCGTGTGGCTCAGAACTTCACAGATGTTAAAACATTAATCAAATGTAATCTCTGTGTTGAGGTTATTGACAACGTTGGTGATTCACCGCCAGGAATAACCGTTGTTGTTGTTGTTGTTATAGATTCAGCTACTCGTTCCGAGTAGCACGGGCTATGGTGAGCCCGTAGTGGACTTACCTGGCACAGGAGCGGTGCTGAATGTGTGTGTGCTTTTCTAATAACCGACCGATTGTTATATCATTTATATTTCTGCTGCGTACCTTCACCTCGCCCAGTGACTTGCTGTTGTTGAGAAAACACAAAACATTTATTGGGGATTATTTGAAACCTGGCAAAGGTCACCAAAAAAGTGCACCACTTTTTCCTCCAGCCTTCAAGTGATGGTAACTCTCACTCTTTTGAAGAGTGGTTAATATGTGTTTAAATATTAACAGTGTTAGCGCTGCGGGTTTCTATAGAAAGACGACAAAATTCTTTAGGCTTTTCTGTTCTCCTGAGAGGCATTGTGATTCTAAATTGACTTATCTGTCTAATAACGAGATTTGTAAGTTCTTGGCAGCTGAACTTGCTTGGATTTGGCTTAGCGTATTTCCTGTGTGAACACGCTAAAAACGTTGATGATAATTCAGAATTGTATTTAAGAAGTGGGGTTAACCCAAGGTTGAGTAGACACAAGAAGCCTAGTCAACCTGACTCTTGCTCTTATAGGACAACATACTCTGAGAAGTGTTGTATTATCGTAACAGAGTATTGTATACTTGTATTTTTGAAGTGTTTTATTATGTAAACAAAATGTTGCCAGATAGGTCTCTTTAATATTTTTTTTTAACACGGTTGGTACTAAGAGGCGTCACATTACACTATGGGCGACACAAGCACAGTATATTTTACATACGTAGAACAGCGTTTACATTGGTCCAAGGTGAGCAATTAGTAAGTGTTTGTTGACGTGGCTGGATGGCAAGAGCAGCGGGTGTTGCCGGTACCACAAGAGTGGAGGCGAGGGTTGACGGCCTTGATGCGTGCGCACGTGTACACCCGTCCTCACCTGCGGGAACGTATAAATGTGTCATTTCCGTAAATGTAACAATAACGGCCACAGGGGGCGTGGTGTGTGGAGAGGGGTCACAGTATCCTCCCCGTCAGCAGGGAGGAAGGATGTGTCACCCATCCAGTAACGCCAAGTTGAAGAAGATTTTACAGTCACTAGTTGCCCGAAGTGACTGGGCCGTCACGTGACTGTTACAGTCGCTCAAACCACTCTACACTTAAACTCCCTCGAATTACCTAATTCACCAACGCTCAGTCAATAAACCAACCCATCCCCCTCTAACAAATGTCTGGTTCCCAAACAGTCCAATCAACTAGCCTCTTCAAACCTCCAAATTTGGTTTTTAATTTGGCCCCGAGGGGCGAGTTTATTGGGCAGCGTCACTCATTCTGTGAGTGAACACACCGCCATAGCAGCATGTACAACACCCCCCAATAAGAAGAAAACCAGCTGGGTTGTTCATCCCGTCACTTGTACCCAGACACAGCTGGGACTTCAACCTCCAAACTACCAATGAACATTCTAAAACTTTGGAATGCCACACTTGAGAGGAAGACAAAGATCTCCCCTGGATTACAATGTCAGTAACTACTAAGATGATATTCACTGCTACCGAACTATAAGATACAATTGGCATATATTACATTATAACTATTTGTAGAAGATCTGTCCAATGCTTACTAATGTTAATGAACACATACTTATAAAAGTGTACATTGTATTTTATAAGTAATTTTTTGTGGGACAGCATTGATTCTGGACTGTAAAGTCCCGGTAGTGTATTGGTTCTGGACGGTAAAGTCCAGACAGGACTTATAGTCTTCTCTGTGAGGCAACATATTACGTGAGCTATTATCTTTAAAGGCTTAAAAAAAACTTTCCTGAAATTGTGGTAAACAAATTACCAGCATTGTTGGAAACTAATGGGAAAAAATGCAATTCAAAATTGAATTAAATACAACTCGTCATTAATTATGAGCGAGTGAGGCGCCGAGAAAGCAAAAATGAGGTGGTGGTGGTGCTTGCAGGAGTGGGAAGGAGGACCCAGGCATAGCAACACTGACAGGAGGCCTTCAGTTGCTCCTGCAGGGCCTCGGGGGGAAAAAATGGTTTTACCGAAAGGGGAAACTGGGGTTTATAGGCGGGGAACGAGAGGGGCTAAGATGAAAGAGGAGGTGGGTGAGGGAATTTAGGGGGGAAGGGTGAGGGAAGTTAGGGGGGGAAGGGTGAGGGAAGTTAGGGGGGAGGGTGAGGAAGGTGGGGAAACGGCTTGCTCCATCATGGCGCATTGGTGTGAAATGAGATATCATGTTAAATTTAGTAATACGCATGACTGGCAAAGAGCCTCATGTTGAAAGCGCTTGAGGGTCTACTTAACACTAGTTCTTGAAATGTCATGGCTGAGGAACCAATTATTTCCTAAATCCCAGTTATCTCATAGCAGTAAATATATCTTGTGTCTGTAAATGTAGTTCCTTGAGGCTGTGTGTGTGTTCTACTTGAAGCTAATTTCTACCTCATATCTTCCTCACGCCCGATGTCGTCTTGTCAAATGATGCCAGTAGTCGCGTTTTCGCACTACATATGCTGCACACGCGCCAGTTTTGAATTTGTAATTCAAATTCAAACTATGAAACAGCCGCGTAATGGCGTCTGACCTCAGCAAGTATTCTTGCCTAACAACCTAAAAACTGAAAGTATTTCGAGAACCAGAACATTGAAGGTGCAAATAACGCCATTGATCGCTGGTGAAACTTGATCCCTATGGCGGGTTGTTCGCTGGGACAGTTTGGTCGTGCAGCGACCGAACTCTCCCAGCGAACAAGTTGTATAATATTTATAATTAAATACATTGTGCTACTGTGAACAAAAAAAAAGATTATTCAGCTGATATAAACATTAAATGATCTTACCTACGAACGTAAACATTTAAATAATGTTGATGTATTACGTACGGATTAATTTGCTAAGTGAGAAGTGGAGCAAGACAGTGGTAACCTTGTGACATGTAAAGTGGAACTCTCCTCATCACCATAACCAACATTCACTCTTGTTGATGCTCGTGCCGTTTTGTTATTGATGTTCCTGGGTTATTGATGTTACTTGGTTATTGATGTTCCTGGGTTATTGATGTTCCTGGGTTATTGATGTTCCTGGGTTATTGATGTTACTGGGTTATTGATGTTCCTGGGTTATTGATGTTCCTGGGTTATTGATGTTTTTGGTTATTGATGTTCCTGGGTTATTGATGTACTTGGTTACTGATGTTACTTGGTTATTGATGTTCTTGGCTATTAATGTATTATAAGTTGTAGTGACGAAGGATGCCAGACACCCGCGTAAAGTGCGTTAGGATTCGCTTGATAACTTTCCATCCCACTCTGCCTCGGGTATACATGTTCAAGGTGAACATGTATACCCGGGGGTCATTCTCAGTATACATGGCCTACCAGGCTTCTCGACCAGAATATTTACAGGTGGAATTCACACGCATACGTTTGGAAATCTGCACTTTGTTCCGGAATTAACATACGTGTATGAGAAACTATTGGGGTCATTCACTGGGCTCAAATTTACATCATTGAGCTCCTTAGGCATACATGTATATCTGCATACATGCAGATATTTGTAATTTATATTATATAAATTCCTGTGTATTGTTATTTCGCCGCGTTCATCTGGTAGTTTTAGTATTTTTGTAATTTCCTCGTTCGATGCTCGTGGTTGACTCTCATTGTTGACTGTTAGTCCCATGGTTGACTCGTTTAGTCCCGTGGTTGACTCGTTAGCCCCTTAGAGCAAACTGATTGTTAACGATGCTGATTTTTGCAGGGGCTGGAGCAGGTGGTTATTGCCAAGGCTTAAACATCATGGTTGTAGAAGTTTGCTGTTGACGAGACTAGAAGCAGCAGCAACAGTTAATTCGCCAGATGACTGGGTTTTGTTTTCAATATTTAGTGTCTGTTATACCATAGACGCTCCCGCTACTCATTCTTCCCCTACTTCCCTTTTCCTGTCCCTGTTCCTCCTCTTCCTGCCTCTGTTCCTCCCCTTCCTGCCCCTGTTCCTCCACTTCCTACCCCTGTCCCTTCCCTTCCTCCTTCGCTCGAGTCGTAATATTCACACAGATATCTTTCCTACATAGATACTCACAATTATACCTGAGCGCCGCAAACCTTCTCTAATAACAGCGATTCATATCGTAAATTAGGCCTTAAAAGAAGAGTAAATATATAGAGCTCTTGACAGTATCAGCTCGAGACAGAACTCGTAGCAAAACTAAAAACATTGAGCAAACAATGCAGGTTAACACTCGCCCAGAAATAGCCTAGTTGCACTTTTTAAAAACATGTTGCTATCACCATAGAAACTTTTTACTGAATTTTGTGAAGCCTAAGTTGGGCACACACAGGTGGGCGTGGACAGATCAACTAGCTCTCCTGTCATGAGTCCATAGGCCTTTACATTTTAATTTATTATTGTGTTGTGGTGTTTCTGCCTGACTCTGCCACTAACCGTGTCTGTTTGTGTTGCAGGTCAGTGGCCAGCTTGGCTACGAGGCAGCTTCCTCAGGGTGGGACCAGGCAAGTATGACCTCGGGGACTTCACTCTCAACCACTGGCTCGACGGCATGGCCATCCTCCATAAATTCCATATTGATGGTGGCAAGGTGAGTGTCGTGGTATTGGGGTAACTGGTAGAAGTGACTGAATGAGTTATATGATGGCGCGTGAAGTGCTATTGTCCATAGAGCCCCGCCTCTTGTTCATAGTTCCTACGCCCGTTCACAGCCATCACTTCATAAGAATGTAGTCCATAAGTGTTCACAAGCTGACGGCGTGTTAACCTCCGGTGTATCCACAGGTGTCGTTCCGTTCCAAGTACCTGCGGTCAGACGCCTACAAGAAGGCTTGCATGGCTCAGCGTCCCGTCTTCACCGAGTTCGGTACCCACTGTTACCCCGATCCCTGCAAGAACATCTTCTCCAGAATGTTCTCCCACTTCGTAAGTTATAGACCTCATGTGGCTTCAGGAGTTATAGACCACATGTGGCTTCAGGAGTTATAGACCACATGTGCCTTCAGGAGTTATAGACCTCATGTGGCTTCAGGAGTTATAGACCTCATGTGGCTTCAGGAGTTATAGACCTCATGTGGCTTCAGGAGTTATAGACCTCATGTGGCTTCAGGAGTTATAGACCTCATGTGGCTTCAGGAGTTATAGACCTCATGTGGCTTCAGGAGTTATAGACCTCATGTGGCTTCAGGAGTTATAGACCTCATGTGGCTTCAGGAGTTATAGACCTCATGTGGCTTCAGGAGTTATAGACCTCATGTGGCTTCAGGAGTTATAGACCTCATGTGGCTTCAGGAGTTATAGACCTCATGTGGCTTCAGGAGAATTGTAATATTTTACGAAATTGTGTGAGCCTTTTGATTTGTGTTAAAGGTTTACTTGTGTTTGAAGAATATTCCTATATTTCCATCATAAATTTTTGGGGCTTTGTATTTCATGTTAAGATGTTGATTAACTTGGAAGCTGTGTGCGCTACAGACAAGGTTATACTTTGTTTGACATCGATTGATTGATTCGTGAAGATTAAACAACTCAAAAGGTGGCATGGGCATGAATAGCCCGTAAGTGGTAGATTTTTTTGGAGTGAATGTATGTTGTTGTTCTTCTAGATTCAGTTACTCGGAACAAAAAATTCCAAGTAGAACGGGTACGTAGTGTGCATAATTAGCGTCTTGAGCACGTTATCTGAGCACGACGTAGCGTGCATAAAGAATGCGATTTATAAGGAAAGATTGAGCCTGTAGTGGACTTACCTGGCACAAAAGTGGGGGCTGTAACTCTGTGATGAATGTGATCTTTGGCGCGCGAAAGCATTGTACTGTGTGCTGTTGTTTGATTGATTGATGAAGATTAAGCCACCCAAGAATGGCACGGGCATGATAAGCCCGTAACGTTTTTTGGCATGTTGCTGACGTTTATATATATATATATATGCAACAGTCGTCAGTGTGTCGTGTGTGAACTGAAGGCGTGCAAGAGTTACAAGAGTCCCCAGAAGATGCTACACGTTGCTCTTAGTGTGGAGAGAGTACATATGGTTATGTTGTTCATCGAGTCTCTTTACATGTTAAAGGGGGCTTTTCTATGCTTGGGACAAATACTGTAGGCACGCCTAAAGTGTTGATGTTTATATCCTCCTCGCAAAGAGGCCTGCGCGCCCGCTAAACACACACCGAAACTACGACGTTGGTATAACGTTCGAACATGTTCTAACACCTAACCAGTTATAACAACCAATATAGCATGTTGTAACAACGTTCTAATACGTCATAAACACGATAAGCCAAGATGTAACAACTTTATTACAAGTTGTAACAAGCGGAAAATAGAAACAGTTTCGGTTTGTGTTTCCAGGGCCTGGAGGAGTGAGATCACTGAGGCTCACGAGGTCTGGGTGTCCTCACAGACTTAACTGTAAAGACGATGAGTCACAATAACGTGGCTGAAGTATGTTGACCAGACCACACACTAGAAGTTGAAGGGACGACGACGTTTCGGTCCGTCCTGGACCATTCTCAAGTCGATTGTGAATGGTCACAATCGACTTGAGAATGGTCTAGGACGGACCGAAACGTCGTCGTCCCTTCAACTTCTAGTGTGTGGTCTGGTCAACTTAACTGTGAAGATTTTTTCGTCATATCCTTCAAGTGTATGGTGAAGGAGTCGGCGTGCACACTCAACTCTCAGTGCTCAGGCTAGTGCTCACATATCCAACCTTCGACTTTTTTATTAGAATCATTATTCGCTGCAGGGCGAAAAAACCCTTGAAGGTTAAAAGGTAAAAAAAACTCGTTTTCAGAGGTTACCTGAGTAAGCACTCCCGCCGCCTCGATACCAAGTGTGTGTTGCTTGCAAGTCCACTTGCTCTTAGAGTTGCTCTTAGTGAATTATCAACATATCTAAGATGATGGCGTAATTTCACTGGAAGGTCTGGTAGCGAGGACTGGCAGTGCCAGGAACTTGAGTTCTGCTGATACAGAAGCAGCTGCAAACTTGAACGTAAATTTGAGCGTATAGAACTATGTGGAAACTTATTAGTATTTTTTATATGCTGGAGGAATTTGTTTTAGCTTAAGTTAAACTGGAGCATATTCGATATGGGAAATATGTTTAAATATGTATTAATTATGCACACTTTTTCATATGCTGGAATATATGGATTCCAGCTTTAGTGCTGGAATATCTGAACCAACGCTAATGTTAATTGAAAGATGTTTACTGAGGCTCATTTATCCTGGAAGATCTGGACTACATGCCACGTGTACTGGAAGATCTTAAGGAAAGCCCACACGTGCCCTGGAAATCACGTCTGCGGCTCCTGTACACCGGAACATCTTAATCAACATTAACACATGTACTATAAGATGAGCCTTCTTGCTCCCAAGATTTTCTCGTGGATATCTCACGTTATCGTGAGTTCGTTGTGTACTGGAAGATCCTAATCAAGACTCACGTACAGAAAGATGAAGACTGCGACTTTTGTACTGGAGAGGTTTCAGTGTGATCTAGAATGGTGTTGCACAGTCTGGGCTCCATGAGTACCCATGACTAGTTCTGACCGGCCTCTCGCCAGGATATTGGACAAAAAACAAAATTCGTATCGTATTAGACGTTCTAGTCATCCTGAAAAAAATTAATTGCTCCAGTTTTTGTCTATCTTGGGGCCAGTGTTGGGTTGGCTTACCGCCGCCTCAAGGTACACAGGTGGTGGTGAACACGACACCGACCACGCTACAGCAGATACCGATACTGTGTATCTTGTATGGTTCATACAAGATACACAGAACAGTGAAGACATAGAGTGTTGTAAACGGAGTATTCAAGGGGTGACGCATACAAATGGCTGGAGTCAACAAGTGGTGTGCCACAAGGGTCACCTTTATGACCGCTCTGTTCTTGACTGGTATGACTGGTTTTAATACCCGGGTTCTGCTGTGTAGTATCAGGATTCAAAGGTGACATTAATCTAGCAAGCAGTCACAACTCCACCGACGCATCAAGGACTGAAGGCAGACTTACAACGTAATAAATTGGATTAAAAATGAGACAATTATTTAAATGTAGATAAACTCAAAATGATAATTATTCCACAATAGAATCACACGAATGCGATTTATAAGGAAATATCGAGGCCGTGTGTTTGGGGGCGTCTATGAACACTGGTTCGATCCCATTATATGGCCCCAGTATTGCCTCCCAAAAATATATTAGCATCAGTCAACCTTGATTGTTTCAAGCGTGGGTTGGACATGTATATGAGTGGGATTGGATGGTTATAAATAGCAGTTGCCTCGTATGGGCCAATAGGCCTTATGCAGTTACCTTTATTCTTATGTTCTTATGTTCAACAGTGAAAAGGCAGACTGTTGAATGTGTAACTTAGAAATAATGAAAGTAAATAACAAGAAAGACTTGAGGATCATAGTGGGTAGTGATTTGAGACCAAATTGAGAGCAATCAGCCAGTCTGCAAAGTCAAGACACATGTTTGCTGGACCAAGAGCTAGAGTAGTGTTACGTGAAGACCAACTCTTTGCGTGGTTAGTTGTATAGAATATTACGTACGGTTTTGGTCATCATTTAATTCCCATTGTACAGGACAGGAAGTCTGGCTTAATGAGACCCCACTAGGTGAAGACAAGCATGAGGTGAAAGGAAACGTCCACAACCATTTCTGTCCCACCCAGGAATCGAACTCTGGATCCTCGATTGTGAGAACGAGGACGTACAACACTGTTTCTCGACCCATTTTGAGGAAGAATATTGGAAATATAAAAAAAAAGAGTTAACACAAATATACATAATTATCAGACGGCTTGACAAAATATTACTTCAGAAAAGACCATAGTGTTGTCAGTTCCAACAGAATGTATAACAGATGTATTCACTGCTGAATGCAAGATTTCATTCAGCAGTGAATACATTGGAGATAAAATGGTAAAGACAGGCAGGAGGTTATCATCACAGGTCAGTGGGAGCGGCTGACGTCTGCCTCACTGGGCTCCCACCAACACTGGCTGGGTGACTGGGCCACCAGCCTCGCCCCTCGATAAATCTACCAGGCTTCTTGTCCCCGACAGTGGACAGGAATTACTATAGACTTTACTATACATATAGACAGGTTGGACATACACCATCAGTGTACCGCTAACAAGCCGACGCATTTGGGCCCATCAGTCTGTTGATGTGTGACTTCCTTTCTTTAAACTGTGTGTTAGTATCTGTGGTGAAGATGAAGGGAATTATATGGACAGTAATGGTAATGGTAATCTCTGCTCCACAGGAAATGACAGACAACGCCTCCAACAACATCTTGTGTGTTGAGGACCAGTTGTTCGTGTCTTCTGAGACCTGCTACATCAGGAAGATCGACCCCAACACACTGGATACCAGGGACAAGGTGAGTCATCCCATCAGTGTTTAAAACCTCCACCAATATGGACATTATAACGTCATAGTGACGTCACACATCTCGTCCACACCGTATATAAAATACAAAATTGTATCACTTATTTCCGTTAGATTAGGTCAGGTTCGATTAGGTTAGGTTTGGTTTGGTTAGCTTAAGATAAGTTGGGTTTGTTTATAAAGGTCTACAGACAACACACAGCCCCTCTATTTAAGTCTCTTAACTTGCTAAACATACACTAACTCCACACATTCTCATATGCTAATTCCATGTACAAAACCTTGTTCTTAAGTGCTATTCTTGATCTGAAACCTTTCCTTGATAGGTGTAAGTAGAACCCATGAGCACCACACCAGAAATAAATATCTCTTTGATATCCCCAGAGTCAGACTAATGTGTGCAAACACTCCATGTAAATAAAAGGGCCCAGTATTTGGAACTCACTCCATGATGAATTAAAAAATTGTCCAACCCATGCCCTGTTCAAAAGCAAATTAAAAAAGTACCTAAAAAGCAAATTAAAAATGTACCTAATTTCATCCTCAGAGTTTCTGACCTTGTGCTTCAAACTCACACTGTAACTTGTGCTACACACTTCCCCCCAATATTAGTACTTAAGACACATCCTTACCAGTGTAATCACCTCTGTCAACTTAGGTTGTAGTTATGTGTTGATATAAAAACCTTGCTACGCTGTACCTTTTCATCTTACCTGATATGTTAGATTAAGGACCTGCCGGAAACGCCTTGCGTGTTAGAGACTTTTCAAGAATGTAAAAATAGCAATCTTATGTAATCTCACCAACCCATTGTACCTTCTTGTGAATAAATTATTATTATTATTATTATTATTATTATTATTATTATTATTATAGGTGTACATACGATGACGTAGAGGTGTACATACTTTCCTTAGGTTTTAGACTACTTCCCAAGGCAGGTGGCGTTACAGAAGAATTGATAATAATAAAGTATAAACTAGGTTAGATAGCTTGTAAACACTTGCTGCTGAATTAACACTCAAAGTGATAAACATTGGGGTAAAGTCCGTGCTCGGGAAGTGTTTGTATTATTGGTCTTACAATTGTTATTGTCCGCAGGTGGATCTGAACAAGGTGATGGGTGTCAACTTTGCTTCTTCCCATCCGTTGACTGACGACTCTGGGACCACCTACAACATGGGCTGCTCCTTCATGAGCGGACCCAAGTACAACATCGTCAGGATCCCGCCCTCTAAGGACAGCAATCTCAGTGGTACGTGAGAGGGTCGTGAGTGCGACTTAGGATCCGTGCATTTACTGAGTGCATCTTGATATACGGGTGCGTCTAGATGAGTGCGCCTTGGAAGTGGATACTGCTGGTGTGTTCAGGGTGGTGTGTGACAGCAGGGTCATATGTACTCACCAGGCTGTGTTTGTGGAGACCGAACTCAAGCTCCTGGACCCACCATTTAGCATTTGATTGGTGGCGTATATGTTTCATCATATTTACTTTTGAATGCAGTATGGAGGCAGCTTGAGCCATCTCTCGTCTTGGCTCATCCCACTCTTTTACTTCCCATACACTAAAAAGTACTTCCCATACACTAAAATGTACTTCCCATACACTAAAATGTACTTCCCTTACACTGAAAAGTACTTCCTAACATCTCTCCGACTCATCTTTGTGCTCATTAGACTTCTTTAAGTTCTTATTCGAGATAGTTTGACATCCTCGAGCCCATGTACACCTTCTCGTAGCTGCATCTTGTGCTCAGGTCCCAACATGTACTACATAGTTCCTGTGTTGTGAGACTTATTTCCCATTGCCTTTCTTCGTAGCTCGTGTCCTTCAGCTCCGGGACTAGTCTTGTTGCAAAGGTCTGTACTTTCTCAATTTTTTTGGTGCGGTTGGTTAGGTTAGGTTAGGTGCTGCCGGAGGCGGTCCTGATGTCTGCCAGCCTTGTGTGACCTGCTGGGTGTTGAGTTATATGAGCTTTGGTGAACATGCTCGGTGCTGAATGGTGTGTGTGGTGGAGTAAGGTTTGTGTTTGGTGTTGTAGTGTGTGTGTGTGTGTGTGTGTGTGTGTGTGTGTGTGTGTGTGTGTGTGTGTGTGTGTGTGTGTGTGTGTGTGTGTGTGTGTGTGTGTGTAGTTACAGGATGAGAGCTACGCTTGAGGTATCCCGTCTTCCCAGTACTCTTTGTCGTATAACGCTTTGAAACTACTGACGGTTTTCGCCTCCACCACCTTCTCACTTAGCTTGTTCCAACCGTCTACCTCTGTTTGTAAAAGACAATGTTCTAATAATTTTTCGGCACCTGTTTATGTGCGTGTGTGTACGCACAACTAGGTGAGTACACAGACGCACATACACACATACACAGAGCGTACAATATGTACGCTCTGTGTATGTGCACATACACAGAGCGGGGTTTGTGCTCTGGCTCTTTGGTCCCGCCTCTCAACTGTTGTACAGGTTCCTGAGCCTACTGGGCTCTATCATATCTACATTTAAAACTATGTATGGAGTCAGCCTCCACCACATCACTGTCTAATGCATTCCATCTGTTAACTACTCTGACACTGAAAAAGTTCTTTCTAACGTCCCTGTGGCTCATGTGGGTGTGCTCTTCTGCTCCTATACACCCTAATTGAATATGTGTGCGCGCGCATGCGTGATACAGGGCGTGTGTGCTGGAGTAGAGTGTACGTGGCTCAGTAAGGTAATTCTTTTGAATCAAGGTAACTAGCAAGGTTTAATACCTCTGGTTTACCGCTGAAAGCCGCCGCCGGCGTAGAGAGGCTCCAGACTGTGTTTAATATTCTTGTCTGGAACCATGCCAAGGTGAGGACACAAGTACTTGTGAAGCAGCGAACCTCTCCCGCTCCTCCAGAATGATGCCCTTGACGGAGCAAGCTAGTGACCAGAGAGATATGTGCTAGTTACCTACGTCCAGTTCTGTAGCGCAGTGGGTAGTGCGGTCGACTCACAACCCAATGATCCAAAGTTCGATTCCCGGGCAGGACGAGGCACGTTTGGGTGCTCTTCCTAACACCTGGAAGTATTCCTTCCATTCCTTATTGTTCCTTTTTGTAGTATTAGAATATATTTAGAAGTATTCCTTTTTGTTTCCCCTAGTTGTAAATATGTACTAGAGGGTTAGGAAACTTTTGTAGGTTACATTTTTGAGGAAGATCAGTTGTTGGCCTAAGAAGTCCTCAGTAAATCTTATAGACTTGTGTCCCCAACGCATGAAGCTGTATGACGAGAGCAAGAGTGCTCTGCCGTTGTTGTTTAAGATTCGCTACTTGGAACAAATTCCAAATAGCACGGGCTATGGTGAGGCCGTAGATCTTAATGTAGTGCCCTGCCTCACTACTGCAGCAGGAGTGCCCTGCCTCACTGCTGCCCACACGGTTGAGGCCAGCATGCACGTCATTACGTTCGCAATAGAGTCTGTGTTTGAACGTCAATAGTGTTTTAAAGCCTTACTCTCCTTGTCGCTTTTTCACCCTCTCCCCCACACCACCTTACCCTCACGCTCTCGTGTCTTCACCTGCAGGGTCTGACCCGTGGATTAATGCTCGCACACTCACCACGGTCAGCTCGAGCTGGAAGGCGTCGTACGCGTACTACCACAGCTTCGGTATGAGTGAGAACTACCTGGTGTTCCTGGAGCAGCCGCTGCTGGTCAGCACCCTCAAGCTGGCGACCTCCCAGCTCAAGAACCGAGCCCTCACAGACTGCTTCGACTGGCTCCCACAGGAGAGGGTGAGTGAAGAGTCGTGTCACTGATGTTTGTGGAAGTATTATGGATCAGATTCTTAGACAAGAGTCAAGAATGTTCTGAACATCAGTGTCTGGGAGAGCAGGTGGATCATGTTTTATATTTAAGTTGTTAATTTGTGTGGATGTTACTTTTATCTAAGGCCCCCTTGATTTTTTTTAATTAAAATGGGGAGTGCTCAAGTGAACCTGACATTGTTGGGAGATTCAAAAAAAGGTGGCAGGTAATGCCAGCTTGTGCAGTAGAGGTCACGAAGGTCAGGAGTGTTAGACACTGTCTCTGAGATAGTTCGCTCCAAGAGAAAGGGAGGGAGTTATCAAGAGAAAGCGTCAAGCCATTACGACTATATAGCACTGGGAAAGGGGTCAAGTTCACAAGAATTAACTTCTCGGTATATGTCCTCAGGTGAAGTTCATCGTGATCCGCAAATCGACGGGCGAGGTGGTGAAGGTGAAGTACATCAGCGAGGAGGCCTTCTTCACCTTCCACCACGTCAACGCTTACGAGGTGGAGGGCCAGCTGGTGGTCGACCTGGTCGCCTACCCCAGCCCTGAGATCATCAATAAACTCTACCTGAAGAAGGTCAGGATGAACGAGTACAGCAGCGAAGACCCTCCCCAGTTGAAGAGGTTTATTCTGCCCCTCGTCAGTGATCTTCAGGTGGGTGTCTTACTTCCTCTTAATAATACACAGTGGGAATTCTGATAACCTAATGGTGAACAGCTCTTATCCAGAGCTCTTAAAAATGGTTTTTAATGATAGCGTTTTTATTGCTTGGAGTTATTTAAAGACTTGCATTTGTTGTGGTTGCTGAATATGAAAGTCAATTTTCACTGGGATTTGCCTATTAATAATTAAAACTTTTGTTGTTTATTGAAAACTTGTCTTACAGCGCTTATGTTACTCCTTACTGTAGTTTTTATACCTGGTAACCTGTCACTATAACACTACACCCATGGTGACTACCATGGCATCACCATCACACCTCTCTCGCCACTATCCTTCATTATCCCATTGTCTATATCCCCAGCAACATCACGTTTAGGTACAATACTAGAAGGAGGGGGTATAAAGCGGTAGACCCCAGGTCTTATAGTCCTTACGGGCTATTCATGCCCGTGCCACCTCTTGGGTGGCTTAATCTTCACCAATTAATCATCTTGTAATCACGGTTAGGTAAGAACCTCTCCATCCACCCCCCCCCACACACACCCTCATTACCAAACATCCAACCCCCCCCACAACTCATCACCACACAACCATCACCATCATCACCACACACATCATCACACAACTCAAACAACCCATCACCACACAACCACCACCACCCATCACCACACACCCATCACCATACACCATCACCACACAACCTACCACCACACAACCACCATACACCATCATCACACAACTCATCACCACACAACCACCACCACACAACCACCACCACACAACCACCACCACACACCCACCTCCACACTACAAGACCTCTGTACTCACACCAGAGTTCATGTTGGTGGTTTCCTACAGAGTGTAAAGGAAGGAGAGGAGCTGGTTCACGTGGCAGGGAACACGGCGTCGGCCATCAAGGTGAAGAACAACCAAGACGGTGTTTACATCAGTGTGACGGGAGTGGACGTGGGCGAGCCCGGGTTCGAGATGCCGGTCATCAACACGGCGCACACTGGCAAGCCGTACCGCTTCGTGTACGGCACCGGGGCCTACGATCAGGGCTACTTCAAGAACTCGGTACGTACCACCAGCCACAGAGAAGCTCGAATTCTGCATTGTTTATTAAGGGAGGAGGATATTATACCCAACAGAGAGAGAGAGAGAGAGTGTGTATGTGTGTTTTGCGGCTACACTGTGATTCTTGTGACTTACCTACCCAGACTTGTGGTAACTGTTGCTTGTCTACGGTGACCTCCATACAGTTACTTGTATACTGTGACCTGTACACCTGACATACAGCAACTTATATGCTGTACATTGTACTCATTTAACGGTGTCCTGCCATCGGCCGAGTTACAGCACGTGGGACGTGTGATCCTGTGGTCCTGGGTTCGATCCCACGCCGGCGAGAAACAGCAAGTTTCTTTCACCTATGCATGTACCTAGCAGTAAATTCACCTGGGTGTAACAGCTGTCAGGGCTGCTCTGGGGGTGAGGCCTGGTCGAGGACCGGACCGCGGGGACACTAAAAAAAAAAAGCCTCGAAATCATCTCAAGATAACTCAAGATAACTGACCTTAGCAACATCTTTGCTAGTCTGTCTCTTGCCTCACAAAGACTGAGAAGGAAGGTGCAAGTTCATGGTGTTAAATGGGTATGTTAAATTAATTATTAAGGTGGATTTTGGACGTGGTTCTTTCAAAGAAAACAGTCGGCATAACTGGAGTCAAGTGCAACAAAAACATTGCAAGTACCCCAACGTTATGTCCTAAAATCTCTTATTTTTATCACACACATATATATATATATATATATATATATATATATATATATATATATATATATATATATATATATATATATATATATATATATATTAGTCTCCGTGGTGTAGTGGTAAGACACTCGCCTGGCGTTCCGCGAGCGCTTTGTCATGGGTTCGTATCCTGGCCGGAGAGGATTTACTGGGCGCAAATCCTTAACTGTAGCCTCTGTTTAACTCAACAGTAAAATGTGTACTTGGTTGTAACAACGATTCTTCGCGGCGGGGATCGTATTCCAGGGACCTGCCCGAAACGCTATGCGTACTAGTGGCTGTACAAGAATGTAACAACTCTTGTATATATCTCAAAAAAAAAAAATGCACCTGGACCAATAATGAATGTACGCTTTCGGCAGGTGTGCAAGATGGATGTGGAGAGCGGGCGCAGCTGGGTGTGGCGCGGCAACGAGCACCAGTACTTGTCCGAGCCCTCCTTCATCCCCGCCCCGGACGCGATCGACGAGGACGACGGCGTGATCCTCTGTTCTGTCGCCGACGTCCGCAAGGGCAGCCCGGACTTCCTGCTGGTGGTGGACGCCCGCACCATGAAGGAGCTAGGACGCGCTGAGGTGGACGCTCGCATCCCTACCAGCTTACACGGAGTCTTCCTGCCAGAGAGGCACTGATAGGAGTGACAGGGTTGTGAGGTGGAGTTGTGAGGGTTGAAGTTGGGGTTGTTGTTGATGTTATGAGGTCACAGTGCCGCAGGAGCACAGTGCCTTCATGATGCCCTAACACCAAAGTATTGCTTTAGTCATAGTGCCTTGAGGTCACAGTGCCGTGAGAGCATCACTGCCTGTGACAGTCATTTGCTGTGATTCTTAGTGTAATGGTGGCTGAATTGTTATTTGTTATTTGTTATGAGTCAGTGTGTGACGACTCTGGCTTGCCTAGACTCCTTCAAGTTATGCACATGTGCTTCCTGTCCACATTACTGCTGATATACACTCGTCTTTCTCACACTCTCTTGAGTTCACTGCACTCTTGTATTTCCTCAAATTTCTTAGAAATTAAACTACTTCAATCTTCGTCATTACACTGGCTGAAGCCTCGTTCCTGTGCAACAAAGGAGTTACACTTAGCAAATTAATTATATATTCCTCATTATATATATATATATATATATATATATATATATATATATATATATATATATATATATATATATATATATATAAATATATATATATATATATATATATATATATATATATATATATATATATATATATATATATATATACATATATATATACATACTACCACAGTATTATACTTGTTATTGTACAGTTGTGGAACTATCATGATGGGCATTTGTTGATTTCCGCACGATTTTTTTTTTAGATCTCTGACGGTATATTTTAAGGATCAGTTGGTGATCAATTAGACTGTCTCGTCACGTACACTGCTTGGGTATCCATATCATTTGGGGTGCAAGCTCCTAAATGACTCATTACGAGATGGGCGGACGAGTGAATACTTTGTAACGAGCGAGTACCTCGTAACCAGGCAGCACCTGGTTACGAGCGACCACCTCGTAAGAGGAGACAAGGGAAGCTGGAACAACCTGGCTGATCCATGTGATATATCTGTTGAGATCTTATAGCTATACTTCTGTTATATTTATATTACATCTTCCTTCTTACAGTCCTCGTTGAACACATTCTACAAGATTTTTTTGTTTACCATTTTCTATATTTTTGTATTTAATTTCAAGCATTTGATACACATACATCAGTCTCATATATCAATCCAGGTGTGTCCCTCTCCACACCTGTTGACTTTCACCACCTTGCCACATCTGAGCCTTATAGCTCAGGTGTGGGGGGGGGGGGTTAAGCACCTTGCCACACCTGCCTTATAGCTCAGGTGTGTGGGGGGGTCACCACCTTGCCACACCTGCCTTGTAGCTCAGATGTGTGGTGGGTGTTACAAGAATGTCGCATGTACCTTACTTTTGACCCTGTCATCACACATGTGACTGAGGTGGGGGTGATTAGGCAGATATGGGCATTAACATGAAATATACTCAGCTGGATGGGAAGGAAACGTGAGCTCTTAATGGGTGGATCCTGCCTAGCTCAGTGACGTCACAGATGCAGCCTTGTTTTCACCAGTGACGTCAGAGGTGTGTCGTCATCAGTGACATCACTGGTGTCACATTTGTGACATCATCGCTGAGCTCAGAAGGTTGATCATGACGTCACGGCTGAAGTCACGATTCATCCTCCATGAGAATTCTTCTTCTCCCATAAAGCGATGTTTTATATCCCCCACCTGTGTCATGCCTGGCACCTGTGTCATGCCTGGCACCTGTGTCATGCCTGGCACCTGTGTCATGCCTGGCACGTGTGTCATGCCTGGTACCTGTGTCATGCCTGGCACGTGTGTCATGCCTGGCACGTGTGTCATGCCTGGCACGTGTGTCATGCCTGGCACGTGTGTCATGCCTGGCACGTGTGTCATGCCTGGCACCTGTGTCATGCCTGGCACGTGTGTCATGCCTGGCACGTGTGTCATGCCTGGCACGTGTGTCATGCCTGGCACGTGTGTCATGCCTGGCACCTGTGTCATGCCTGGCACGTGTCATGCCTGGCATGTGTCCCTGGCACGTGTGTCATGCCTGGCACGTGTGTCATGCCTGGCACCTGTGTCATGCCTGGCACGTGTGTCATGCCTGGCACGTGTGTCATGCCTGGCACGTGTGTCATGCCTGGCACGTGTGTCATGCCTGGCACGTGTGTCATGCCTGGCACGTGTGTCATGCCTGGCACGTGTGTCATGCCTGGCACCTGTGTCATGCCTGGCATGCCTGGCACCTGTGTCATGCCTGGCACCTGTGTCATGCCTGGCACGTGTGTCATGCCTGGCACATGCCTGGCACGTGTGTCATGCCTGGCACCTGTGTCATGCCTGGCACGTGTGTCATGCCTGGCACCTGTGTCATGCCTGGTACCTGTGTCATGCCTGGCACATGCCTGGCACGTGTGTCATGCCTGGCACGTGTGTCATGCCTGGCACCTGTGTCATGCCTGGCACGTGTGTCATGCCTGGCACGTGTGTCATGCCTGGCACGTGTGTCATGCCTGGCACGTGTGTCATGCCTGGCACGTGTGTCATGCCTGTGTGTCATGCCTGGCACGTGTGTCATGCCTGGCACGTGTGTCATGCCTGGCACGTGTGTCATGCCTGGCACGTGTGTCATGCCTGGCACCTGTGTCATGCCTGGCACCTGTGTCATGCCTGGCACGTGTGTCATGCCTGGCACGTGTGTCATGCCTGGCACGTGTGTCATGCCTGGCACGTGTGTCATGCCTGGCACCTGTGTCATGCCTGGCACGTGTGTCATGCCTGGCACGTGTGTCATGCCTGGCACGTGTGTCATGCCTGGCACGTGTGTCATGCCTGGCACCTGTGTCATGCCTGGCCTGTGTCATGCCTGGCACGTGTGTCATGCCTGGCACCTGTGTCATGCCTGGCACCATGTGTCATGCCTGGCACCTGTGTCATGCCTGGCACCTGTGTCATGCCTGGCACCTGGCACATGTGTCATGCCTGGCACCTGTGTCATGCCTGGCACCTGTGTCATGCCTGGCACCTGTGTCATGCCTGGCACCTGTGTCATGCCTGGCACCTGTGTCATGCCTGGCACCTGTGTCATGCCTGGCACCTGTGTCATGCCTGGCACCTGTGTCATGCCTGGCACGTGTGTCATGCCTGGCACCTGTGTCATGCCTGGCACCTGTGTCATGCCTGGCACGTGTGTCATGCCTGGCACGTGTGTCATGCCTGGCACCTGTGTCATGCCTGGCACCTGTGTCATGCCTGGCACCTGTGTCATGCCTGGCACCTGTGTCATGCCTGGCACGTGTGTCATGCCTGGCACCTGTGTCATGCCTGGCACCTGTGTCATGCCTGGCACCTGTGTCATGCCTGGCACCTGTGTCATGCCTGGCACCTGTGTCATGCCTGGCACGTGTGTCATGCCTGGCACCTGTGTCATGCCTGGTACCTGTGTCATGCCTGGCACATGTGTCATGCCTGGCACGTGTGTCACGCCTGGCACGTGTGTCATGCCTGGCACCTGTGTCATGCCTGGCACATGTGTCATGCCTGGCACGTGTGTCATGCCTGGTCACCTGGCACCTGTGTCATGCCTGGCACCTGTGTCATGCCTGGCACGTGTCATGCCTGGCATGCCTGGCACGTGTGTCATGCCTGGCACGTGTGTCATGCCTGGCACCACGTGTGTCATGCCTGGCACCTGGCACGTGTGTCATGCCTGGCACGTGTGTCATGTGTGTGTCATGCCTGGCACGTGTGTCATGCCTGGCACATGTGTGTGTCATGCCTGGTACCTGGTCATGCCTGGCACATGTGTCATGCCTGGCACGTGTGTCATGCCTGGCACGTGTGTCATGCCTGGCACCTGTGTCATGCCTGGCACATGTGTCATGCCTGGCACGTGTGTCATGCCTGGCACCTGTGTCATGCCTGGCACGTGTGTCATGCCTGGCACCTGTGTCATGCCTGGCACGTGTGTCATGCCTGGCACGTGTGTCATGCCTGGCACATGTGTCATGCCTGGTACCTGTGTCATGCCTGGCACATGTGTCATGCCTGGCACGTGTGTCATGCCTGGCACATGTGTCATGCCTGGCACCTGTGTCATGCCTGGCACATGTGTCATGCCTGGCACGTGTGTCATGCCTGGTACGTGTGTCATGCCTGGTACGTGTGTCATGCCTGGTACGTGTGTCATGCCTGGTACGTGTGTCATGCCTGGCACGTGTGTCATGCCTGGCACATGTGTCATGCCTGGCACGTGTGTCATGCCTGGCACGTGTGTCATGCCTGGCACCTGTGTCATGCCTGGCACGTGTGTCATGCCTGGTACCTGTGTCATGCCTGGCACGTGTGTCATGCCTGGTACCTGTGTCATGCCTGGCACCTGTGTCATGCCTGGCACCTGTGTCATGCCTGGCACCTGTGTCATGCCTGGCACCTGTGTCATGCCTGGCACCTGTGTCATGCCTGGCACGTGTGTCATGCCTGGCACCTGTGTCATGCCTGGCACCTGTGTCATGCCTGGCACCTGTGTCATGCCTGGCACGTGTGTCATGCCTGGCACCTGTGTCATGCCTGGCACCTGTGTCATGCCTGGCACATGTGTCATGCCTGGCACCTGTGTCATGCCTGGCACGTGTGTCATGCCTGGCACATGTGTCATGCCTGGCACCTGTGTCATGCCTGGCACGTGTGTCATGCCTGGCACGTGTGTCATGCCTGGCACCTGTGTCATGCCTGGCACCTGTGTCATGCCTGGCACCTGTGTCATGCCTGGCACGTGTGTCATGCCTGGCACCTGTGTCATGCCTGGCACCTGTGTCATGCCTGGCACATGTGTCATGCCTGGCACGTGTGTCATGCCTGGCACCTGTGTCATGCCTGACACTACACTGCCGTAGGCGCCACTCTGTTCATCTGCATGGAAAATAAAGCAAATTTTTATATAACTTGTGTGATTTTTACCCCCCAATGTTTATATACAAAAATGTCTATATATACACCCTGGCGTGGAGACAAGTGTATACCCACACCTGTCTTCGCCCGATAAGGGTCAGAGGTGAGAGACAATTGTATGAACACCAAGGGGCCCAAGTTCAACACTCTCCCTCTGAAGACAAGTGGCATAACTTGCCGGCCTCACACGGTGTTCTATAGAGAACTTAATAAACCCCTCAAAAAAATGTTTAACCTGGCTGTGGACGTCAGAGAGCGAGCAGCTGCGTCTAACAGCCTGGTTGACCAGATCACCAACCAGCAAAGCTGTTCAGAGACCGAGGGATGTTGAGCGTTGGAAAAAATACTAAGGTGTGGTATAAGAACAGAACACAGTCTAGAGGCAGTACGACCAAAGTTTCTCCATGGATTATAAAAAGTGCCGCGGAACTTTTGAACAAACCTCTAATGATACTCTCGTTACCTGAATGAAATGTGGAGAACCACCTGGCAGGTGGAAAATCGCTAGTATTATACTTATTAACAAGACAGCGTGACAGAAGACACTACAATACAACGTGAGGGCTGGGCCACACTAGTATACACCTACACGTAGACTGGTCCACACCAGTATCCACCAACACATAGACTGGGTCACACAAGTATACACCTACACGAAGACTGGTCCACACCAGTATCCACCAACACATAGACTGGGTCACACAAGTATACACCTACACGTAGACTGGTCCACACCAGTATCCACCAACACATAGACTGGGTCACACAAGTATACACCTACACATAGACTGGGTCACACAAGTATACACCTACACATAGACTGGGTCACACCAGTATACACCAACACATAGACTGGGTCACACAAGTATACACCTACACATAGACTGGGTCACACCAGTATACACCTACACATAGACTGGGTCACACAAGTATACACCAACACATAGACTGGGTCACACAAGTATACACCTACACATAGACTGGGTCACACCAGTATACACCTACACATAGACTGGGTCACACCAGTATACACCTACACATAGACTGGGTCACACCAGTATACACCTACACGCAGGGTTGAAATTACCACAACAGTGGTGGGTGGCGCCGCCCAGCACCACGGGACTAACTCCTGACATTCAAAAGGAATGATTTATATTCGTGAAACCAACACTTCATCTGTTAGACCTGACAACCTCATCCACACTATAACCTTTTCCCAGCGGTTGTCTATATATGGAACAACTGAATATTTGTAACTACCCTCAACATTAAATGAACAAATCCACAAGGGCCGTGACGAGGGTTCGAACCTACGTTCGAGAGTATCCCAGACGCTGCTTTAATCGACTGAGCTACGACATGGTAAAGAGAATTGCCCTTGTGGATTTGTTTATTTGATGCATCACGCTATTGTGAGTTCTGTGAGTAACCCTCAACATTAGTAACTACCCTAGATATTAGTACCTAACCTAAATATTACTAATTACCCTAAGTATCAGGAATTACTCTTGGATTACTGCTGTACAACGGTTATACAAACAGTAGGCTGCAAAGATAATCTGAATGGTAAATTACATTTTTCAATGTATTAATATTACAGCAGTTTTCTGAAATCTAAAATCGACAAAATTCACCACATTTGTATGGGAAAATTCCTAATGATAATAAGTGCTGTGTAATAATATAGCACTATAATCATCATTCAAATAATTAACATCATATATGTTAGAGATAATATAAAATATTATATAATTATTGTATTATACCGGTATATTATATTGCGTAATTATAACTTGATATATTCTATTATGTAATTTATTATCGTATGTATTATTTTCAGCGTTAGGACTGTTATCTTAGCAAGTGGCAGAAAATGATAGTTTACACATGAAGTAGAGTGTAACAGTTTACACACCAAGCAAGTAGAGTGTGGCACAGTTTACACACCAAGTAGAGTGTGACACAGTTTACACACCAAGTAAGTAGAGTATGACAGGGGTATCGAGGCTATCCTGGCCCAAGCCAGGCTGTGCATCAGTAATTCCACCGGGGGTTCAAGGCCTCGCTACCTCTTATATATTGCTCCTATATACGGGGGCAGCACTTTCTCCGGGTACTGGCGCTTTAGAATGTAAATAGACTATATGAGCTCCTCGCGCGTTGTTGACAAGGTCACTTGCCTCCCACAGGTGTGTATTGTGTAGTGTTGGTGTCACTACTTGTATCACCTCGCATGACACCCGCCCCGCGACACCGGCCCTGCGACACCCGCTCCGCGCGACACCCGCCTCGCAGCGGCTGTTTCACGCTTACCGTATTATTAAAAATCATAGCAGTAGCGACTTTTATATTATATCTTTTTCCCTTTCAGCGCTAAAGTTGTGGCACTGTTTGCTCTTAAAGTTATATGTTTACAGAGACCTTACAGCTCCCATTAAGAGACCGGGCAATAGTTACTAAACAACAGCATAATGAACTGCTCTTTTCAACACTTGGGATTTGATTAGGTTGCGTCCGAGCTCCAAAACTCATTGTAGTATACTAAACTGGATTTCATAAATCAAAACTTTTTCGGAGATAATGCGTCCAAAATCTTTGTGGGTGGTTGACTATTCTTTATATAGATCAAGTAACCGGTCTTCGTCAACAAACGCCAAATGCTCGTTAAATCAGCCATTAAACCCGCTGTTTGTGCATGAAAAACAGTTTACCTTCCAACCCGTCTGCATAAACCAGCCCGTCCTTGCATACAAAATCCCAACTTGTTAATCCAGCCACCAAACCCTCTGTTTATGCAACCCGTCCTCACACCAAGTTCATTCCATCCAGCGGTCGACCCCACAGACGCATTCATAAATTTTAACATGCTGTTCATTCAAAACGGAAAATTTCTCAAATATAAATTAATATTATAATATATTAGCATATTGTGCATATATAGGCATAGGTTAGCTTAGGTGTTTCGGTTCTGTTGGCGATTATTTGTGTTTGTAGTACGTGGGTGAAGCATTTACAGCGTTGTGATTCGAACAAAATTCGTCAGTGAAGCACTTGTTCCGGAAGAGTTGGAACGAAATCAGTTGTGAGTCGTGTGTAACCAGATGGAAGGGGTTCCACCACGGGACCCCCTTCCATCTCCTGGTAGGGACGGCATTCATCCTCACATGAAAGACCCGCCCAAAACGGGCAAAGTACCGACGTAGAAGTTCCTCAGGAAACTCGAAGGGCATCCCATGCACTGCCACATACGTCGTGGCAGTGCATGGAGAGGGTCAGATCGGAGAGGGTCACTGACCCACTATTGTCAGGCAGAGTGAAAGAGCGCTCATCACAGCGCGCGACAAGATCCTGGTAAACCACTGAGGAGCCGAACTTTATAATCGCCCGCCTCCCCGCAAGCAGCGTTACACCACACACAGACTACTACCTACCTTTACTGCGTGGCAGGAAGCTTTCCCGGGAAAACTTCAGGCCAATGGAGTCCTGCCTGGTGACAGGACACAGGTCCCCCCATGCTGCAGACCGTCATGGTCCCAGGGGCATCTCAGGAGAAACACAGGACGCAGGCCATGTCAGCAGCTACACTCAGGTCCACACACCACGCCGGGTTGACAACAACTGCAGGAGCCGGACTAAACAACTGTTCCCTACGGCAGTCCAGAGCACACTCCCCTTTGCTGATGCTAATTACTCACCATCTCGGTGTGGCTGGTGTACACAAGGTGCTGCATGTTGTACGTCCTGTTAGTTTAATTAGAATGTATTAATCATTATCATTATTATTATATGAAGATTTTGATAATTTGCAAGTTCAGGGAATGTGGAAATAATATGCTGGGAGTGACCGTCACTCACTTTTGATTGATAACTTGTTTGATCGGTCATTCCCGTTTGATTGATCACTCGTTTGATCAATCACTCTTTTGATCGGTCACTCCCATATCTTAACTATAAACAAATTTCAATCCATCCACCTATTTTGATAGTACTTTTTGTAGCTATGTTGTGGATTAAAATAACATAGAATGGAGCCCCAGTATGCAACTTTTTGTACCATTTTTTATAGCGTCCGGAAGAAAATAAAGCTAAAAATCAAACTTAAATATTCCTAGGCCTAGAATAGGACATATGTGTACTCTATTAGGCCTCAGATCGCGTGTATTAGACCTAGGAAAGTTAGGTTAGGCTTTATTACGAAAATATATATGAAACTTTCCGGTTTGTCCAAATGCCTTCCTATGAAAGTCAACTTTATGGCTGTCCATCACGATATATTTGTACTTTCAACCCCATCATTACTATATCTTGCGATGATTTCGGGGCTCAATGTCCCCACGGCCCGATCCTCGACCAAGCTATAAGTACTTTCATTTCAGGAGGATAGGCTGACAAAATTATATGCACTAATACTACTATATATAAGAGAAAATACCGTTTTTTTATACAGTAGACATTTCGTTCTCAACGCACACTCGGGGATCCCGAGTTAGATTCTCGGCCGGGACAGAAAAATGGGCACGTTTCCTTCCACCCAATGCATCCGTTCACCTAGGAGTATATAGGTACCACCAGGGAGTTAGGCAACTGTTGTGGGGTTGCGTCCTGGAGAGGGTCCGTAGCTCCTCCTTTGCAGGGGGGGGGGAATCTTGATTCAAGCCTAATATATATATATTCAGGCTTCCTTCCCTGACAAAACTAATTAAAATTAATTACGGTCGGGTGCAGCGTGTCGACGAGCATAACCAATAACCAGACAATGAGTTGGCTTTAGAACACCGGAGAGCAGGAGGCTACCACCACGCCACCCAAACTCTGGCGGAATAGGTAAACATTAAACAAACAGTAAATCACAATTACGTGGGTGAAAATTAGACACCTCAACCCACACTTCTGGAAATATAGGAAGTGATAATTTAGCATTATGTGTATGTACAGTCTATGTAACTATGGTTGAGCTCTTTGGTCCCGCCTCTCAACCGTCAAT